CAAAAACTAACATAACACAATATAAGATGATTTCAAAAGAATCCGTCAAAATTTGTGATGAATACCCTTCAAAATAAGTGAAAAATTGTATTCAAAATAATATTTCAAAATCTACGATGGATAACCTTTAAATTGAATTTACTTGAAAATAAATAATATCATAGTGGGATCTCAATCGACATTTTCAAGCCTCTTCCCTATACCTAACTCTAAAAAGGTCGGTTCTCGATCTTTGTATTAGATTCTCGTCGAGATTTTGTCTAAACATACACCATAACACACGAAGTTGAGTAACCTGCTTTGACTGGGTCATGAAGATTAAGAATATAGGTTTATCATATCTTAACATAATATACTATGTAAGAAAGGAAAAATCATTTGAGTAACACACAAATTGGGTATTTATCTACCAAAAAGCTAATCTTGATTTGAATATTTGCATAATTCCGGCATTGTATAACATAGATGGATTCATATAAATGTCTGCACTTGAATTCCTAGATCTTCTAGTAATCTCTCTTTTCAGATGATACAACAAGATTTAATTTACGACAACATTGTCAGCTATTCTCTTCCTCTGCCTTCAGTCTCTTCTTCTTCGATCGCTATCCAGCAACTCTGTCACATGAATTCCTTCTCCCCCATCAAAAAGCTTCATCCCCCGCCATTGTTAATCGTCCAAGAAGTTCCCAGGATAAACCTACACCAAAAAGAAAATATCTTTAGAATTACCATATTTCAAGAATGCATCAAAACACCATGCTCTATTTTTTAATTTTTGATCCCTCCTCTTGCCTGGTTGCTCTTCTCCTGACTCACGCTCGTAGATCTCAGCCTCAACTCGCCCCTTCCGGTCGTCAACTCATCAAACACCTCGGCCTCTTGTGAATCAAATCCAGGCCCGCCTTCTCTTGAATCGATCCTCTGCAAAAAAAAAAAAAAAACAGAGCATGAAGATCTATTCTTTCATATAGTTTCCAAAATGGAGATGGCATGAAAGTTGGGATTGTGTTACCCTCAACGACATCGAACGAGTGCGGAGCGGGTCTCCTTCAATCTCTTCGTACTCGACTCCATCGAGCTCTTTTAGGTGAAGGGGTTGGAAGAACTTGGGTAGGATCTTCTCCCTGATGCTTATCAGGAAGAAGAAAGGCAGGGGAAATAGGATCCCCGCGACGGGGATCCACGTTACTCCGAAGCATATAAGGAAATAGACCAACTGGAAGATAGTGAACTTGGATGTCTCCTTGAATGGGACCGTCTCCACGAACGATGCGTGTGGCCTTTCCAAAATCCTGATGATCGCGACAAAAGTCACAACGAAATGTGGCTTGGGGTTCTAAATATAAGGGGATGGATTTGGTTTATGAAAATGGAACAACTTACTTGTGGCGTCTAGAGGGAGAAATGAGAAGCAGAACGATTCTCTCCCAGAACTGGTTTCCAGGAAGACTGTCGATCGCCATGTAGGCAAAATACCCCCATAGGACCGAAGTCGGTATCTTCTTGATCACAGGTATCGCCATCAGAGACAGACCGACGAGCAGCGACTGCATGAAGTTGCTAAACCTCTGCTCGATCACCCTAGTAGGCAAGTAAGCGTCGATCTTCTCCGGGTCGAAGCTGCTTTCGCTACCATCTTTGCTCATCACCGCTTCTTTCAAGTTCTTCAAATCCTTCGCCGCAGATGGCTGCAATAAATTTTGATTGAATAGTTCAATTGTAGAAGAGATGAGTGTGTTATTGTTAGAAGTTGGCTTCACTTACAGTTGCAGTCCCATCCATTCGAACAAAAGCCTCTTCCATTTTACCGTAGACTTTCGACTTGCTGTCATGTTGCATCATGCTTTCCTTGGCTGTTTTCACCATCTTCTTCCTTATCAGCTGCATTCATATCAATCAATAACGCATTCATATCAATCAATAACGCCATCAACGAAGACCGGGAATTAAATTAAAGTGTCCCGATTTTTCTCAATGGAACTAACTTACCTGGCCATTGAGAACCGAAAGGCTTTTGGTATGCATAGGAGATTGAGGGAGTACTCCATTACATGGAGGGAGGCCAATCAATCCGCAGATTAGAGTCTGAAAAGCATCATCCACACGAAAGAGAATCAATTACATAATCGTGCTTAGTTCAAATCGTTAACAATGATGTTGTAAATCTTAACATAATTGCGCGTGACATTTCATCGAACGCTGTAAATGTACATTTTGTAATGCTTACAAAACATTTGTCGAGATTTCTGGATTCTTCGTTACCAATTCGCTAACGATAATGATGTGTTTGTATGTACAAGAAATTCATATTGTAGTTAATGTTGTAATCCGAAAACACATACCGTGATGCCAAGGATTAGGATGTCATAATGGTAAGCAGAGGGCTTCTTGATATTGAACTCTTTCTGTTGTGCCATCTGAGAAGCAACACTATGATCGAAGAAGTAAAGCCCCGCAACCATCACAGCAGGTATGAATGCAGCAAGAATGAACACAGGAGGCACTTTCCCCATATCCTAAAAAACAAACAAATCGTCAAATTACATTCCATCATTTTTTTCAAATCCTCTGCCTTAGAGCACAAAATTTATTCCTACAAAATAGAGCAAAATTGATTACCATGAACACCGTCCAATGTCCCATGGAGGCAGGGTCCCATGGCAGGGGAGTCTGCAGCCGCCGTGGAATCCCTTCCGGTACTTGGCTCGGCACTGTCAATGACAGTGCCGCCCATGCCATCACCACCAACGGAACTCCGTAATCGGCGATGATACTACGAAACCATCCGGTACCGTAATCCCAAGACCTCGCCTTTCTGCTCTTCAGAGCCGTGATGAGAACTCCAAATGTGAAAATGACTCCCAGAAGGCCGTTTACGTATAGCCATTGGAAACTGCTGTCAGGCGATTTCTCGTCCTCGTGCTCCAGAGGGCTGAACTCACCCACCATCCCCTGTTTTTTATCCAAACAAACAAGTGTTCATATTCTTGTTTGTTTTTGGTAACCACAATTCAGGGGATTGATTTCATTTTTACCTTTATTGCCTGTTGAAAGAAAAGAACCGCGATTAACATCCCAAATGTCTCCCCTGCAAGTCTGGTGAACTTGTTGAGGATGTTGCAGGCATCGAAGACGGCGAGGAGAATGAGCAGTAAAGCTGTCCAGACACATACCCTGAACAATGCAGAGGGTAGGAGAAATTCATTTAGTTGATTTGAGAAGGCAAAGGTGTATTTTTTTTTTGTTGAAATGGTTTGGCGAAAGTGCAAAGGTACCATCCAGCCCAAGCAAGGTACAGAGTTTTTCCTACGGCGTCGGAGCTTTTGGCGAAAGTGTAGATGTAGCTGTACATGATGACGGTAGGCTCTGCAACTCCCACCACCAACAATGGCTGGCCGCCGACGAGAGAATGGATGATTCCGCAGAGAGCGGTGGAAGCTAGAGTCTCCACCGTGCTCAGACTTCCCTCTGAAATCGCGAGAAAATTTGTGGTAGAGACATCAATGGAGGAAGAAATAAAGAAGACAATGCACAGGTTGGAGAGAAGAAAATCCAAACTAGAACCTGTTTCTCGGCTGAGTTGTTCTCCAAAAGCGATGACTGGGAGAGCGGAAGCGAAGAAGATATAGGCAATGGGCGCAAATATCCTGAAGTGTAAATCAACAATAAAATGAGCAAATCCATTTGACAGATTTGGAAGGGGGAAAATAATAAAAAAATGGAGGCAAAACAGAGAGACCCGGGACCAGCGGCGAATGCATTGCTCCAGTCATCTCCATAGACTGCTTTTCTTCCTTTCAAGTCCTGAATGATTCCTTTCATCGTTTATTGCTTCATAAAAGGAAATGAGAAGCGAGATGAAGCGGTAATGATTCACAAACAATTGGGGACGAAGATAAATAATGCAAGAAATAAGAAGAATGAATGCTCTATTTTTTCTTGGTTAACAAACAGAGAGGTCGTTTGCTATTATTGTACCTTGGTGGCAAACTTGAGACAAACCAAACCAGACGCCAATAAGCGGTAATTGGCGTCTGGAATGAAGCTAGCAAATTGCAGTTTCGGGTATGAGAGAAATTAAGGAATTGAAATGAGAAGAGGGGTCAGAACAGAGAACAAAGAACAGAAAGAAGAAGAGAAAAAAAGAAAAAAAAACAGGGAGGAAACAAGAGAACGATGGCAGGAAGTCTAAAGGAAGAAAAACGGAATTGAATGCATGGTAGCCATTCGTTTCAAACTTGCAATGGAGATGTGATTGGCGCTTGTTTTGATTCTAATTTTATTTTTTCTACCCTTCCCTTCCGTTTTCCATTATTGTGGTGGACATGCCCAAAAGCCAAAGTTCTTTTTCTCTATTCCCAGAAATTGATTGGATTTGCCAGAATTGGGCTAGATCATAAATATTGGTACGTTAATCGAATTGGTTGTACATACCTTATTTCAAGAGTCCATTTTCAATCTCAATTCTTAATGGTTGTTTCCTTACTAAGAGAAGCTGCTTTATGAAGAAGATAGGACAATATTGTATAATGGCTTAAGATAGGACAATATTGTATAATTAGTTCTGAGCCCTTAGTTTTGAGTAAGATATGAAAGTTGAATCAATCTTATAAAAGAAATAGAAGTTTTTTTTTATTTTGAATTTAATTTTGATTTGAAGCTACCACATATATGTTCACAAATCACGTTAAACACATAACTAATACTAGGATGGCAATCGAACCCACACTTACGTGAATCCACCAACCTCCGATCTTGTTAACACATGAGAATTCCTGCATCAACTAGATACAGGGTGGATATAGATAAACCCTGCAAAGGTTTGATGGGGTGGACATTGAAAAATATAGTGATCATATTTTAATTTCTCAATGACAGGAGGGATAATTCAAAAATTAAGAGTTGAAATGTAATCAAATCATTACTCGAGTAAACAATAATTTATTTCCCTTCATTCACCTGTCACCCTTTCACTTCTTTTCCCATTGTTTTTTTTTGTCAAAAGATATCATATATTGATCCGAACAAATAGATAGTTACATCCTGGAAACCAGCCAGACCCGGAAATCAAAGAAGCGACTCACAGTCGGATACAGGGGAGGGCTTTTCTAGCTACCGAGTGAGCTACCCTATTGTGCTCCCGACCTACAAATCGCACACTAAACCCAGGATGGGCGCGAAAAATAATGACCTATCTCTTCCAGGACAGCACCCAACCGGTTACCCCTCGTACCAGCTTGATTAATTTTATCAATAATCACTTTCGCATCGCCCTCAAACCGGACCGCCGACAAGCCACACTCCAAACACCAAATAATAGCCTCCCGAAGCACAAGCAATTACACCACTGTAGGCTCGTCCACTTGAGGAAACTGAACCCCCTTCGCCAAAAGGAGCGTTCGCGCCGGATCAAAAAGAACCATCCCACTAGCCGAATGCGACCCACCCCTAGTGGCCCCATCCCACATGCAAACCAATCGTGAATCACCTACTTGAGTCACTAGCTGTACCAACGGACAAGACACCCTAGGAGCCTGGTCAATCGGCAAGCCCACCCATTCCTCATATTGTTGGGTAAATTGGCGCATTAGCACTAGGATCCCAAACTGTTTGCCTTCAAAGACAACCCAGTTACGACCTCCAGATCCGCCAAAGGATGGCAACAACAGCCAGGAACAACGACGGTTGATGGATCAGCGCCAGCAGATGTTTGAGAAATAATGGAAAGGTGTGCCGAGGCAAACCCTCCCCTAAGTATTCCAGCCGTGAATACTCCCAAAGCGCACGCACAACCGGAAAATAAAGAAACAGATGCTTCATCGTCTCCAGGCTATCCCAGCAAACTGGACAGCGGGGAAGCACATGGAACTTTTTTTCAATGAGCGCCTCAGTAGTTGGTAGAGCCCGACTAAGAATTTGTCAGACAAAGACCTTCAGCTTCGGAGGGATCTTAGCCTCCCACAAACGGATCCAACTTGGCTTATCCATCCAACTAACCGAGGACCGCCACCCACCCCTCCTCCTGTCCAACTCAACAGCCAAATGGTAAGCCGACTTTAACAACAAAACCCCAGCTGCCGTGTTATGCCAGATAAGTTTATCAGCCACATTCTGCCGCGGAAATGGAATAACCTTAATGGCACGGCAGGTAGACGGTTCAAACCATTGACTAAGCTTATCATCAAACCAGCGCCCTTCCCCTTCACAAATAACCTCCGCCACTGAGGGATCACCCCCTTCTGGCAAGATCAGCGGATTATAGTGAGGGCGATCCAGCTGAAGCCCAGGAATCCAGTTAGTGTGGAGAAGAGAGGTCGATCGGCCATTGCCGACCTGCCATCTTAAACCCATCTCCAATAATTGGCGCCCATAAAGGATACTCTGCCACCCCCATGAAGGGCGTGATCTAGCCATCGCGCCCAGGAAAGTTTCTTGAGGGAAGTACTTCCCTTTATACACCTGGGCAAGAAGGGAATGGGGTTCATTGAGGATACACCAGCCAATCTTTGCTAAAAGAGCTTGGTTAAAATGTTCGAACTGGCAAAATCCCATCCCCCCATCATGCTTACTCCTGCACATATTGCGACAGGACACCCACCTAACCTTGGGATGGTCCTCATCAGCACCCCACCAGAAATGGGCCACATATCTATCCAATAGTCGACAAAGAGAGAGGGGTAGCCGGAAACACGACATAACATGCAGGGTAGAGCCAACGCTAGTGACTTTATCAATGTTTCCTTTGCCGCCCAGGACAATGTCTTTTGCTTCCACCCTTGAAGTGGCTCAATTAGTTTCTCCTCCAAATATCAGAACGTAGCCATTTTTGATCTGGCAACCAGCGTGGGTAACCCGAGATATTTATCATGGACCCCCACTACACCAACCCCTAGAATCGTGGCCAAGAACTCTTGATCTGGCAGGGGAATATTTTTGCTAAAGCACACCGCAGATTAACCCTTTGGCCACTCAGCTCCTCATATTCGTTCAAAACCTCAATTAAATTCTTGCACTCCTGGAGAGAACCTCGCAAGAATAAATAAGAATCATCAGCAAAGAACAAATGAGAGATTCTTGGAGCACGTGGAGCCACTTTTACCCCCTCCAGTTTCTTTTCCGAGATTGCTTTCCAGAGGAAAGCCGCAAACCCCTCCGTTCAAATCACAAACAAGAGAGGCGATAGCGGATCCCCCTGACGGAGCCCCCGGGAGGAAGTGAAATAACCCGAAGGGGTACCATTCCTCAGGATAGAAAATGATGAGGAACGGTGACATTCATTTATCCATCCTTGCCAGACAGAGTTAAAACCCTATTTATCCAAAACCGCCAGAAGGAAGGGCCATTCGACTCTATCATAGGCCTTTTCCATGTCAACCTTTAGAGCCATGTACCCCTTCTTCCCCTGCTTTTCGATTTTTAGATAATGCATTAAATCACGTCCAAGAAGGATGTTGTCAATAATCTGCATGTCTCTTATAAACGCATTCTGACCCTCAGAGATGATCTGGGGGAGCAGACCAGCAAGCCATTCAGCCATGATTTTGGTTATCACTTTATAAACAAACTGACATAGGTTGATCGGACACAACTGTCTGATTGTTTCCACAAAATCGAATTTAGGAATCAAAGTGAGCCAGGTATGGTTAAAACTCCGCAACATCCGGCTCGTTGTAAATAAAGAGCATACTGCTTCAATCACCAAAGTGCCCACAATATCCCAGAACGCTTTGAAGAACTATCCTGTGAAGCCATCCGACCCCGGGACCTGCTTTGACCCCATCGAAAAGACCGTTCTCTGAACCTCACCAGGCAATACCTCAGCCGTCAACTGCGCATTAATTTGTGGAGTAACACTATGGGCAATGGGAAGTGTAGACACCACATTTTGTCCGGATTTTGACCTCTTAGATATCGAACTTATTCAACAATCTAAAGTGCAGCGTGTTTGGAATTATCTGCAAACAACGACCAAGTTGAGAATTGAGAAGTATCACAGTTTGGGTTTTCGTATTAGAGGATTTGATCAATGAGAAGATTTGTTCAATGTTGGAAGACAAGGACGAAAAGAATTCATTCAAAAATTTGAAGTCTATTACAAACGTTTAACGACACTACAAAATTTGGATTTGCATACACTACTCAATAATCCCTAATACAATGGGCTAAGTTTTGATTTGTATCCAAGCTTGGCCCATCACAAGGAAGCCCAGATCAGCAGTCTGCAAAACAAAGAAGAAATAAAAATCAACCCAGTTTCAGTCCATAGTTGAAAGATAGATCAAGCCCAGAGCTAGGCCCAAATTCAAATCCGTCCAAGCCCATTTCAAGCCCAGACAAAGAAGAGCATTCCAGGCCCAATTTGGCCAATAAGTTGAAGCTGGAGGGACTGCCCCAAACTTGGTTCAATCTTATCCAACACCTGTCTTTACCAGTCAGAACCGACTAAGCAAGGTGGAGGCTTCAGATGCAGCCTTGAAGATCAACCAATCAGAGAGAAACATGTCATACTCATCATCAATCACAACATGACACATGGCGCGCAATTCTTGCTATAAATGAGCTCTTTGGGCTCTGCATTGGGGGGGGGGGGGGGGGACGAATTGGAGAAAAAAATAGACAGACAGGAAATTCTAAAAAACACTCTAATCTTTTCATTACAACAAGTTGAGTCCAGGAATTGGATCGGGGCAAGGAAGCGTTCTCGGAGAAAAATCTTAATAAGGTTGGTATTTTAACTATGCTTCCATGATTCATGGTAAATTTCACGTCATTTAGCATAATCTCCACTCTATCGTGGTACCGTTATAATCATCCATCGGATTATCTATATATATTCAAGCGATTCACTTTACGAGCCCCTTTATATTCAAGGACTCCATTTACTTAAAATAAAATTTGCTCATAGTAGTTCCAATTCGACATTAAGCTTCTTTAGATTGAGCATCTATTTACTTTTTCTTATCAATTGATAGTCTATTGTCTATTACAATTTTCTCCCATGCTTTCTCTTATCAATTGATAGTCTATTACAATTTTCTCCCATGCTTTCGTATTCTTTATTTGCATATGTTTGATAAACACGATCATCATATATAAACAAACTAAATCAAAATCCAGATCTAGGAAACCATAAACACAATAAAATTTCATATTCACAAACTCTCACCAATTTTTTTTTTAATCAACCAAAAAACCCTAATCTAATCAAAACACAAGCAGTAGCAGCGGTTTGCAGTCATTAGTCTAATTAAATCACAAGCAGTGGCCGTGATAATTAATGATTTAGCCTGTTTTAAATAAAACTAATGGTGTCTTTATGAAACCGATTTGCATAGTCAAGATTCCAAAGCGAACTTAAGCATCCAAAGCATACAAAAACAACCATTTTTACCAAAAATACAAATTTACTATCATATTCAAAACTCAATAACAAGCAAATCCCCTTTTCATATTATGGGTTAATTCCCTAAATATTGTATTTTTTTTAATTTACCACGAATATAGTGTTTTGAAAAGTATTTACAAGAATATTGTGTTTTTTGATATGTTTAAAGCGCCGAAGCCTTAGACTCAAGAATATTTTGTTTTTTAACACAGCGGCGCCGCTTCAGACTGGGGCTTTGTCGCTTTTAAGAAGGTAATAGCGTCGGCGCCCCAGACTGGGGCTTTGTCGCTGCCATTTTGTTCCACTCCAGCACCACTCCTCACCATATATACTGCACCTTTCCTTCGGTTCTTCATCACCAAAAAACTGAAAGAAGTTCTGAAAGAAGCTCTGGTGTTGCTGTCTGGTTGCTGGGAAGATGGCTAATAACAGGTAAGAGTCGTATTTTTTTTTCATGTATTCATCATAATGATTTTGTCTAGTTAGTAATTAGTGAGTTTGTTTTTTATGTAGTGGTTTTAGAAGATTTGAACTAGCTGTTCGGTGGCGATCAGAGAAAGTAGAAGACAATTTGGGTGTCCATTTTGTTGGTGGTCTAAGTTTCTAGATGACTATTCCATCCAGGGTGAACTATCAGAAACTTTGTGATCATCTAATTCGGAGAATACGGATTAGAGACGAAACAGTACAAGATAGTGTTGTGATTACAGGTTTCACCTACTGTCTTCCAGAATGGCAGAATGGTGTTTTATTTCATTATGCAATGCCTATTGTCGATGATGATAGCTTAAATGTGCTTTAGAATTTTATGGCACAAAATCCTTATTGTTTGGGTGCTGAGATACATGCCGAGCTCAGTGAGGATCGGGGTGGAGAGGAAGACGATGATGACGGTGATGACACATGGAGCATGCCATCCGATCATGATTATGATGATGGTGATGACGGAGATGAGGAAGACGATGATGATGAGGAGGAGGAGGACGACAACGACGACAGGGAGGGAGGAGAACAACCTAATTATCCTCCATATTTTTACTTGCAGGGTAATGAAGAGGACGAGGAATTATCATATGCTGATTCATATGGCGTAATTCCAGGGTCTACTGTTGGTGATTTTGATGGAGAATTCTACAAGGGGCAAATATTTCACTCGAAACAAGCTGCACAGGTGGCGATGAAACACTATGCACTACAACGCAACTTTCAGTATAACGTGGTGGAGTCGTCACCTTCAATCTGGAAGATCAGATGTTTGATGCACAAGGAGGACAAATGTCCTTGGATGGTGCGGTTTGGATGTCAAGAAATGGGAGGCGATTGGAGCGTGAGAAAGGTCGAGTTGGTGCATACTTGTAGCAGTACGACTCAACCGACGGATCATCGCCATCTTGATGTCGACGTGATATCTGAGGCCGTCAAACACTTGGTACGTGCCCAACCAAATCTGAGTGTTCTAACTGTTCAGGCCGAGTTGAAAGATAAGTTTAATATGCAAGTTACTTACAAGAAGGCTTGGTATGGGAAACAAAGAGCATTGGAGAAGTTGCATGGAAATTGGGAAGAATCCTATGATTTTTTGAAAACATTCTTGCGGGTGGTCAAGAGAAAATGCCAACATCGGTGATTCATTGGGTAAGAGTTCCTTCGACTCAACCAGGTCATTCAATATTTCAGCGAGTATTCTGAGCTTATGGACCTTGTATAGATGGATTCAAGAATTGTCCAGGCGTTATGGTTGTTGATGGAACATTTCTTACTGGGAAGTATAAAGGAGTGCTACTCATGGCGAGCTCATTTGATGGACGGAAGAATATTTTTCCAATTGCATTTGCCATAGTGGAGAGTGAGAATACTGATAGTTGGCCATGGTTCATAAGTCACGTTCAGGGTTTGACTGATCGAAATGATGTATGCATCATCTCAGATAGACATGCAGGACTCTATGAAGCCATGAATAACATCGGAAGAGGTTGGGAGTGGAGGTGGTGCATGCGACACTATGCAAGCAATTTGCAAAGGAAGACTAAAAGCAGAATTATGTATAATCAACTATTTCGAGTCGGTAAGCTTTCTTCATATAATTTTGTTACTTGTTTTCATGTAATTTTGTCATGAATTTATCTAACCCCTGTGGTGGTTTATTTTATTTTGTTAGCTGGAGAAAAACGGTTGGAGAAGTTTGATCGTCAAGTTGAGCAATTTAAGAAGGTGGCCGCTGATAGAAATATTTCATGTGATAACTGGGTGGATCAACATCAGATTCGTTGGAGTCTAGTACACGATAACTACAATGGTGGGCGTTTTTGGTCTATCCTGACATCCAACATGGCAGAAAGCGTCAATGGTATTTTCAAAGGTATTCGTGCACTTCCTATAGCTTCTCTTGTGCAACATACCTATTGGCGATTGGTGGAGAAATTCGATAAGTACAGGTTGGAGACAGGAGCAGAAATTAGAAGTGGTCCTTCACAGTACTCCACCAAGTGCGAAGAGCTGATGAAGGCGTGGTCACAAAAGGCAGTTGGACATTCTGTGACAGCTCTTGATCGACGTCAAGGCATCTATGTAGTTCAGACTCCTCCCAACAATTTCAACATGACGGGGTCAAACACACTCACAGTGCACTTTGACGACCCCAACCGGACGGGATTTTGCACCTGTGGTAAATTTCAAGGAAATAAAATTCCTTGCTCTCATGCCATTGCAGCTTGCAACCGAATGGGTGCTAATGCGTATAGGTTTGTCAACAATGTCTACAAGCTGGAAACTGTGATGGCTTGTTATGGGACAAGTTTTGCACCTCTTGGTGAACCTAAGGGCTGGAAGAAGCATAATGACCCTACTCTCCATCCTAATCTAGACATGATTAAAAAGCCGGGGAGGCCAAGATCAACACGAATTCACAACGAGATGGATTGGCCAAGGGAGGGTTCATCACAGCAAGTGTGTAGCAACTGTAACCAAGCGGGACATAATGCATCAACCTGTGGTGGCCAAGCAAGTGGGAGTGGGAGCAACCGAAGAGGGAGTGGTGGCCAACGAAGTGCGAGAGGTGGTAGAAGAGGAGGAATTAGAGGGAATAGACGTGGCTGAGAAGTTAGTTCGAATGTAGCAGTTGTTGTTTTTCTTTCGATTTATCTCGCAGAAGTTGTTGTTGTTTGAAGTTGTTGTTTGGAGTTGTTGTTGTTTGAAGTTGTTGTTGTTTGAAGTTGTTGTTTGGACTTTTATGAACTGAACTAGTTGTTGATGTTTGTTGGTTTTATATTTAAAGTCTCAATTTAGACAATAGCACTAAGAACATGAGATTAAAAATAGTCCAAAATAAGTACATAACAATAAATAGTCTCAAGGAAATACATAATAATAATGCATAGTCACAAAGAACATAATAATAGTCTCAAGAAAGTACATAAATACACTAACGACCACCACGACCACCACGACAACCACTGTGCTCTGCCACTAGATGGCCGCCAGTACCACACCTCGCTGGCCTCCTGTCTCATGGAGGCAACTGCTCATCTCTCTCCGCCCCATCATCCTGATCCTGTGTGCCGAACATATCATCTACTTGAGACTGAACATGCTCATCCGGTGCACCCTCTCATCGCTGCTGCTCATATGCCCAATGAGATGTCTGGAAGTCCTGATCCTAAACCTGCAGACCGACACGCTCCCACTCATCGACGTCCAAATGTGGCAGGTCTGTACTACCTGATCCCATGTGCCCGCCTCCCATCGTAGTATGCTGCGGTGTGTGAAAGCTATCCTCCTGTGGCTGAAACTGAGGGCTAGAAGAACTGGTGCCTGCCTGAAATCCGGTAAAAGTAGGCCTGACTGGCTGGAATGTGAAGGTCGATGTAGGTCTGACGGGCTGACGATCTGAGTACCTCACTCCTCGAGGTACGTCACGCTGCTCACGTCGCTGTCCTCCTCCTGGGCTCCTCTGTGAACTGTGGCGGTGGCACGCCCCAGGCCGATGGCTGAGTCCTACGCTCTGGCCAGCTAGCTAAGCTGCGCTCATCGGGGTACCGCTGTATCGGCTCTGTATCAGGATGTCGGCGACCACTAAAACCTATAGCTATAACCCCTGCCGCCAACTGGTCAACATACTCCGCCATCTGATCATATGATAGCCCTCCTGATCTCATCCCATCACGTAAACCCTGCTCAACGGACTCCATGCAGCCGTACTGCAAATTTAAATGGAAAATATCAGAAATTCTATGCATCTAAAAACAATTAAAACACAAATTTTAATTACTAAAAAAAATCACCGCTGCGTTCAATGCAGCAACTCTCTGTGTGCCTGAACGTCTAGTGACATCTCTATACCACTCTTGATGCTCCGAGTGGTAAGCTAATTCTACGTCAGTGTAGCTCGTCTGCGCTACGAACTCATGTCGACGGT